TTAGTGTGTAATGTGTATGACTTTTTTGATTTTTTTATATATATATATATATATATATATATATACATACATATATATACACTTATAAATATATATACAGTGGGTTTTTATGTAAAATGTAGCTGCTGGCTTGGCCTTGATTAAAAGTAGAAAAATGTGGCTGGTGAAATTACAGAGAAATTGTGAAAGTAACCGGTTTAGAGAACCCAACATGTTTATATTGCGTAAAATGTGAGGCAATCGAATAGATTTAGAACATGAAAGGCCAAACAGTGATGCCAAATAGAACAGACTGACTTGATTTTTAGTGTATCAGAAGGAGGGATTGTGCATCTGAGGACCAATGTTTAATTTGACACTACAGTTACCTATAGATGCTAAGCCATGTTTAACAGAGTGTCAACAAACCAAACTTTCACATTTCAGAGAGACACTCTTCTCTGTTCAGCATTTCTACATATCTGCAATTTCTGAACTGTGGCATCAGATATGAAGTGATATTCTAGCGGGGTACACTGGATAATCAAACTTATCATAAACAATGTTATATCTGTTAAAATTTGTAATTGTCACAGAGCTTTCTAGTTTGGAAGTGTAATCCACTGCCGCTGCTCACAGAATCCGTCCATTTAGCAAAACGTGCAAATGGTTTCTGCATTTCTATCCACTCTCGTGTTTCCAGACGACCTGACTGCAACCTGGCAGGGATGTTTAGTTTGTGTAGTTATTAGGGAAGAAGCGGTCAGTCTGGGAGAATTTATAGAAGACTGTTATTCTTGTTGTTGATGCTTTTTTGTGTGTGTGAGTCTCTCATCTTCACTTTCTTCATGCCCTGTTTGTCTCAAATGTTCATATGTTCGTGTATGCTCCTGCTGCATGTCATCCATCTGTATACAATAGAATCTGCTCACTCTCAAACTGTCATTCTAATAAATCAAACTGCCATGATTTATTTCTTTATTTTCTCTCCTTTAAATTAAAGCAGAAGTGTTAAAAGGCAGGAATGTACAAGTTGAGTATACAATATACTCTTTTGTTACAGCAGTGAACATAATAATTTTAGTAGTAGTTAATAGTAAATATAAAGGAAAACATTTAAAAGTCAGCTAAACAAACAATTGTAAAAAAACAAACAAACAACAACAACCAAAAAACAGATGTTTCCCTGGCAAGATGGTGCAGTGGTTAGCACCATCACCTCACAACAAGAAGGTCCATGGATCAAATAGCCTTCTCTCTTCCTGTAGTCCAACGATGAGGTTAGGCTAATTTCTGATTCTAAACTGGCCACCAATTTAGAATCATAAAGTAACTTAAAATAACCTTATCTGAGTTTGTTTGAAGCTTTAAACTCAAATCTTTCTCAGTTGTTTCCTGTTTTACTTCTCACCAGAGTAATTGTGCAGTAGTATTCTGTTTTTCATCAGTTTTATTTTCTATGTGATTTTTAATTGTATATTAGTAAATTCAGTTAAGTTTCTGTTATTTCCCCGGAGGGATCAGTTGGTTTGAGTTTTGATTAGTTTTAGTGTGAATTTAATTTTTTTTCTTCAAAATATTAGTGGTGCCAGATACTATTATTTTAATAATGTGCTTATCTAAACCTCCTAAATCTTACAAATTCTTGTCACACAGTCATCCCAGTCAGGTTAACCGTCTGCATTAATGTCTCTTCGGTCTGCTTGTGCTGGAAAATTTGACAAACCACAAAACCATTTTTTATGTTTTTTTTTATTTATTAATTTTTCGTTTGATTGAATTTTTAGTTCCGTTGGCCAGAATGTTTCTTTTTTTTTACACTAAGTGTTACTTTTTAGTTTAATTCACTATATTAAAAAAAAACTTGCTTTTTGTGGAAGTTTTTTTTCATGCCACCACTTCAGAAAATCCAAATCATGCCAGGTGATAAGTACGTGACCAACTGTTAACATTTGTCCCAAACTGCTGCTGCGTCCGCCTAAATATAAGGCTGACAGGAACACCCAAGAAGAATAACCAGATCTCTTAAAGTTTATATAATCTGTGATAAATTTATGATAAAATGACGCTTGTGGTGGATTAATGGACAGGCGTTCACCGTCGATGCCTTAAATGCAGAAAAGGGGTCCTGTCTGTTTGCGCATGTCCGACAGATGATGCTGCTTTAGCAGACAGCAGCACGAAGAGCTGACACGCTGATTACAATCCTTATCAACGTTATGTCGCCACAAAATGAAGTTTCCTTACTCAAAGATTCCTGAGGAGTAAGTATCGCTCTCTTTAACACAGGTCACGTCGGTGCTTTCCGTCAACGAGAAGCTAAAGTTTGCTAACCAGCTGGCCTGTTCACAATAAGCACAAAGAGGCTCCTTATTTACTGTGGTGCTTGACTTGAGGTAACCTTTTGAACGATTTAACATCAGTTTTCTGAAGGTGTCCGGTTCTGCTTGGGGTTCACATGGTGTTTGGCCACTGGAATCGTCCGGGGTGATTTATTGAAGGCTACAGGCGTTAGCTAGCTGTTTGAAACTGCAGCAGGTTGAGACTGGATTGTTAGACAGATGGCTAACGTTACCTAGCTGCAGACTGACTGTCAGAAAGTTCACCTCTCCCGCTGTAAGACCACTCCAAGAAAGCGGTTCAGCCTTAGGAAGACAGCTTTAGCTGGTGTATGTTTGAAAGGTTGGGTACAGAGGGTAAAATAAGTGTGTGTGTGTGTGTGTTTTATATATATATATATATATATATATATATATATACACACACACACACACACACATACACATACAGCTAGGACTGAAGCGTCGATGTGTAGCCCAATGCATTTTAATTAAGATTAAGTAGAAAAGCCTGGTGTCTGGCATCTGACACAAACACCATTTCTCAGCAGGAGACTTCATCTGAAACCTCGGGGAAATTGTGCCAAAATAAACGCACCTTTGTGGTAAGGAAGGATGAGTGCTGATAATGTTTTATTGATTCCTGATTGTTTAAAAATTAGGGTTACACTGGCTTAGTAACTAACTGCTTTATATTTTGGGTCTGAACACTGTAGACAGACTTGTTTGTGTCTATAATCATAAATATGTCACTGAATAAAGTCAGTGAGCGCACTAAAAGGCCTACAGTTTCTATGGATTGTATAGTTTATAACTGGTTTGTCTTTCCTATCCTGAATAACAAGTCAATCTTAACTTCCACTGTTCAGACGGTTAACTCGTGATGAATCATAAACTGCAAATGGAGGATGATTCGGCATTTGTGCTTCTTAACAGATCCCTTCCTCTTCCCTCTCAGTGGAGGAGCTGAGAAAGGAATTCTGCTGCAGTTCTCAAAATCTTTATATTCTCAATTAATCTTAATTCCATTAAGATTCCATTAATCTGTTTTCTTAATTGTTGTCTTATTTCAAATCTTTAAAAAACTCCTTGAAAATATATTTATTTGAGTTAACATGAAGTCAGAGGTTTCAGTGACACTTTAAACCACAGCATATATAACTATGCAATATTACAGAAAAGTCTGAAGACTGCCTTCCAATTCCTTTTAATGGAGTGAGGAAAATGGAACTAGGTGCAGCAATTTACTTAATATCCAGAAATAAAAAGAAATGCAATATGTAAGGCAAAATCACAGTTTGTATTTTATAACAAGCTTTAAAGTAAATATTTGGTTATGACCACCAGCCTGACTTCTTAGGTAGCTGTCTTGTAACTTGCCAGTCTTCAAGAATGGTTCTCCAGGCTTCTTGAAGAACCTTCAAAGCCCTTCTTTGGATGTTTGCTGTCTGCTGTTTGGTTTTGAGATGATTCCACGCTGCTTCAGTGTTGATGTCCAGACTCTGATGAGGCCAGTCCATGACTGATGGTGTTCCACTGTCTGTGGTTTTGTTTTTTAAATCAGGGTATGCGTTTACTACACAAAGCTGTGGACAGTCAGATGTTTGTGCTGCATGGTGTATCAAAATCTGATGGTACATTTCTATATTCATGAATCTATCAATTTTGAAAAGATCTCCACCAGCGTGACTGAATGCAGCTCCAAACCATGACAGAACCTCAATTATGATTTGTTGCCACTGATTTTCAGTGTGGTTTCTATGTAATTTGGCATCCCTCAGCCTTTTCTCCCCCTCCAAACATAAAAAACATTCTTATGAAAATGGTAAGGTACAAGAACTGAACAGAAAATGAGTGAAAAAGCCACCAATGTCCAAATAGAACCTTGAAAGACATTAAGAAAACTTGGAAAACTATTGCTCTGTGCCACACAAAAAAACAAAGCCTAGATCTGTTGAAGAAAATTGTAAAGAAATGAGAGTTACTTCAAGGCTTTTGCACAGTTCTGAATATGAGGTGTATCTGTGTGGACTCACAGCTTCCAGTTCTGAAAAGTGAAGCTAGCGTATTGCTGATATAATTGACAGTCAAGAAGGGGATATAACAGTGAGATGTTAAAGAATGGCTTGTATGAAATATGTTTGTATTACTGGAGAAGATGAAAGTAAGTAATTCTAAAAGGACAAAAGGAAGAAAAAATGGCATTGTTTGTTTTCCTTATTTAAAACAATTCTTTATGTCACTGGTTCTGTACCTCTGCATTATGATGAAATATTTAAAATAAAAGTTTTCGATTGTTGTAAGCATGGCTCTTTGCTTTTCCCCAATTTTTAAATTTTCTGATTTGCTGCTAAAACATTTTGGCACATTCTTAGCTTGACACAGAAAGCTGGCTGGCTTACAGTCTGCCATCACTCTACAACTATGTGCTGCTTTGTTCATCTCCATCTCAGCTCCTTGCTGCCTGCAGTGTGTACACAGTGAGCTTATACAGAGCCATGGTTTCTCTTTATTACAAGCTGCCATTTGCAAAAGGTCAAACTGAACTGTGAAAATCAGTGATGCCAAAGTATTTTCACACCAATCTAAGTATGTGTGTGTCAACGGCTGACTTTGACCTGCTCTGTTTGTCCCCCAGTATGGTGAGGAAAAGGTGTCCCGTGCTGCATTAGTTGAAGAGTGACATGCTGGCCCGCCTGCCAGCATCAGTTAAGCCTACCATCAGACTACTTTCCCGCACGCAGATGAACACTGGACCTCCAAAATGTAAGTGCCGTCTTTTATCATGTTGTGGTGTTTCTTTTGACTTGTCATACTAGTCAAGCTGTTTTGACACTAAAGTTTAGTTGTATAAAATATCTAATCACTGAGCGTCTGAAACTCGTAGTGGGATGACCTTCTAGAGCAATGCAGAAAATATGTAAAGGATAAAAATTACCAGTAAGTTTTAGACAACTGATTTTAAAGAGCAGTTGACTTGTGTCCATGCTTCCGGCTTTTAAAATGCAGTTAAATATTCAACATCTGTTCAGAAGATTACCGTAAGTGAAGTGGATTTTGTTTGAGGCTAGTTTGGGTGCACAAATGATGGCAAATTATTGAAAACTTTCCCACAGAATAAGATGGTGTTTGTGGCTATATTGCAGCAGGATGAGTATGGACAAAAACATACTTTACTAAATAACCCAGTGAATGTTAGCATATTTACTTTGTGGCAGTTAATCTTAGTTAGTCTTTGTTTGTCACCTGGCTCTCTGGTTTACAAAAGATTCCAGAGCAGAACGTCCATAATCATAGCCAGCTACAGTCTGCTACTGTGTGCAAGGTGAAGTGCTGTCTGATCAGTTTCGCAGCATTTGGCTTCATCTGAGCAAAGGGACCTGCCCTGCCCTGTCTGACAAATGGTGAATAACTGACCGGACAGAACCTCAGAGCAAATGGATAATAAATGCAGAAAAACCAGAACAAGAAGCAACTGAAAGGTGGCTGCAACAACTTGAATGGGGATGTCCATGGGTTCTGGGGTCTGACTATTTTGGGTTTCTGATAATGGGGAGACTTGTATAAGGTTTTTTGTTGTTTTTTTTTTTTTTTTTTTTTTCAAGCCCAGTATTATTGAAATCTGGTCCACTTGGCAGCTTTAGAAAATATGAGTGCATAGATAACTGTGTAACTTCTGTGTATTTTTGTAAATGTTACAGCTTTGGCTATTAACAAAGACCCCCACCAAACACATTTTCAAAACTCTATACTATAGACCAGGGGTGGGTGAACTCCAGGCCTCAAGAGCTGGTGTCCTGCAGGTTTTAGATCTCACCCTGGGTCAACACACCTCAATCAAGTGATTAGCTCATTACCAGCCTCTGGAGAACTTCAAGACATGTTGAGGAGGTCATTTAGGCTACGTTCACACTGCAGGCAAAAGCGCATCAAATCTGATTTTGTTTTTTTGTTTTGTTTTGTTTTTTTGACCCTATGCGACCCATATCCGATCATGGTATGACAGTGTGAACGGCACAAATCCGATATTTTCAAATCCGATCTGGGTCACTTTCGTATGTGGTACTGAATCCGATACATATCCGATGTTTTAGAAAGCGACTGCTGTTTGAACGGTCATGTTGCATTAAATCCGTCTTTTACGCCACCGACACAAGACAGACGGCAATTATCAGCTCTGGAGAAGCGCCCGAGAAGACATCGCGAACGAGCGCTTCCTGGCCATCCAGTGTAGATGTCAGTGAAACTGTTGGGAAGACATTGTTGGAGAAACGTGCACATATTATTTGTACTGTATAATCTGCAGATTCTGACAAATCTGCAACTATCCTTTGAAGCACCGCTCCTCTCTTAAACAACAATAAGGATCATTATTAGGCTATTTGCATTATTATGTAAATAACAAAATAACTTAAAGCAAAAATTGGAAAACGTAAAGTCCGAAGTCTTTATATTAACGGCCATCTGTCAAACAATACTGTTTGGTCTGGGTCTAAACAGAGCGCATCTAAAACCTGCAGGACACCGGCCCTTGAGGCCTGGAGTTCTCCACCCCTGCTGTAGACAGAAGATGTTTTAAAGTTTCCCCTAAGAGCCGGTCACCTTGTTTTTTACCGCCAGTTTGCATTGAAGAACTTGTATAACTGCAGGCTGACAGCATGTTTCTCTATAAAGTTTTGTGCTATGTGAAATCCCAGTTGGTGTTATTTTCTAAGAATGTGCTTTTTTTTTTCTGATTTTGCACATCTTGCAGGGGAAACTACACAGAAAATGAGATCTGCCAGCTATCCAACCCCAGCAGAGTTGGATGCCTATGCTAAGAAAGTTGCCAACAACCCTTTGACCATCCAGATCTTCCCGAGCAGCGTCAAAGTACCTCAAAAGAAGCACATTCGTCGCACAGTCAACGGGCTTGACACATCCTTGTCCAACCAACGCCAGAGTCCCTACTCCTCTCAGGTCGGCACCAGTGGGGGCCTGCTGGCTGTCCTCTGTGCACCTGTCAAAAACTCAGACACTAGCCACACCCGACAACTACATAATTCAGTCATGAACCCTCACAGTGGGCCCTACACCACTGAAAGCACTTTAAACCATCCTCAGCCTGCTCCTCACCTACAGGGTCCGTCTCAGTCTGCACTCCAGAAGCAAAACTTGGTTCACCCTCAAGCACTACAGCAACAGCACCGTTTGACTCATCCAATGGCTTTGCAGCAGCCTCACCCACAAGCTTTACAGCAAAGGAATATGGCTCGTTCACAAGCTCTCCAGCAGCAACAGAGCTTGTCCCAGATTCAGGCGCCACAGCAGCAGAGATTGGCTCATCCACAGGGTATGCAGAGACAGCAGAGCCTCCCTCACACCCAGACTGTGCAGCAGCAGCCACAGCAGGGCCAGTCATGTTCGTCAGTTGTACCACAGCAGCATCTTTCTCATCTGCAGTCACTAAAGCATCAGGTGGCTCCTCCACAAGCTTTACATTCACAGCAAGGAGTGACTCAGGATCTGCGCCACATATCTGATGGATCTCAGCTTCCGAGCATGCAGCACACCCAGGGGCTAGTTGGGTCGCAGGCCCTTCCCCAGGCTGTTGCTGCAGGCCCTCCTACCATGCCTAATTGCCCCCAGCAAGCCCGACTGGGACCTTATGGGCCACAGAAGCTCCCTGACCCAGATGCCCCACCAAATATAACTGTATCTACCTCCACCATCCCACTGTCCATGGCAGCCAGCCTGCATCAGAACAGACCCGGTGACCTGAGCATCATTGTGCACCAAATCAACCAACTGTGTCAGGCTCGGGCCGGTATGGGCACCACCTCAGTCTGTGAGGGACAGATTGCAAACCCCAGCCCCATTAGCCGCAACCTGCTCATCAATGCCAGCTCAAGGGTGTCCTCTCACCACCCAGCTCTGGGCAATGTACCCAGCAGCCTCATGGTGGGACCACCAGACAAAGCTGCAGCCCAAGCTCCCAGCATTTCTCTCAATTCACAGCAGAGTATAGCTGCTGCTAATAGTGTACCTGCTTTTCACACTAACCCTGAGAAGGTGGCGCAGCAGCAGCTTCAGCACCATTTACATCAGCAGAAACAACAGCAGCAGCAGCAACATTTTCAGCAGCTGCAGCAGCTGCAGCAGCAGCGCTCCTGGGCTCAGCATCAGTTAGCCCACATGCAGCAGCCTCCTGAGGGGGCCAATCCTTGCAAGAATCCAAGGATGGAACCTCCAGCTGAGTGTGCTTTCCCCTCCAGAAACCTCTCCTACAGCCACAAGCTACCAAACAGTGCACAGAGCTTTCCCCTAAATCATCCTGCAGAAAAACCGCAACCCTCATCCCCTGTTAAATGCCCAGCAAGTTCTATGCCTTACATTAATGGCCACTACATGAAGCCACCGTGGAGCAGCGTTCAAGCAACAGCAGGAAACAATGGCCCTCAAGACCTCTCAGTGGCTTTCCAGGGAGGGCAGGCTGCTTCCAGAGACAGAATCCCAGGGGCAAAGTATAGGCCAGGGAAGGAGGGTCCTAATGACCAGTCAGAGCTGATGCAGAATGTGGATTTCTTAGGTGGGGATTTTCAGATGCCCAGCTTTCAGGAGCAGAATGTGGATGCAATGGGGAATATACACAGGTCCGCCAGGAGCCAAGTTCAGGAACCTGGCAGCAGCGGAGCAGTCCATGCTCATCGCCCAGGCTACTGTTAAATGTGCGTTGATGCCCATGTGGCGTGTACTGAATTTTGTTTTTGTTCTGGTCTACAGCTGCTTTCAGCTTCTGTATTTTACTCTTTAAAACCTTCAAAGTGAGCAGTTAAATTGCATTGCTTCAGAGCTTGATTTGGAGACCCACCAAGTGTGATGTTTCAAAGTATTCCTCAGGTCTTAAGCCATGTCGTACTTGTTGCAGATGAAGGGTTTTTGAGATCGTTGTCGACTGTTTTATCTCTGGCACAGATGTGCTGCTGTTTGTTCATATATCTATGGTGTTCAGAAATGTTAATTTGCAGCTGAGACTATGCTTGCCTTATGATTGTCACAGTGCTTTTCATAGGTTGACATGGAACAACTCAACTTTTATTAGCATGTGTGGCCTTAGAACTGCCCAGAGGCAAGATAGAATAGGATGTCTTTGTGTGATGTTTTTATTTGCAATTATTTATCTTCCTAACAGCTTTGATCCATTTGAATGGGGGTTACTTGTATATGCAATTATTAGGACTGTTGACAGTGCTCAATCCCATAGCTGCAGTGTACATTTGTAAAGGGGTCTGGGTGTGAGCCAGAGCTTCCCTATCAGGAATACTAACATGGCTTCTGAACGATATTGTTGGTGGTCCAGGTGATTTTTGACATTGCTCTTGGTGGGATGTTTTTTTTGTTTTTGTTTTTTTTTTTTAAGGAAGAAAAAACAAACCCTGCCAGAACTAGCAAAATCGGTAACCTTCTCCATTTCTGAGATTCTTGTTGTGTGGGAGTTCTTTTTAAATGTTTATTTTTTGTTGTTGTTTTTGCATTTCTGTACATTGTCTTACTTGAATCATAGAATTTGCTTTTAAATGTCATGCTTAACATTTGGAACAGGGGCAGAAAGTCTCATTAGCTCCCCACATGTTAATCTTTAGGCAATGTGAAACAGAATGGGTCCCATTACTTTAAACTGAGCGTGTCTGTATGTGAAAGGTAAACTGATCATGTGCATGCATGCAAGTACGTCAGCTCATGCTACCGGGGAAAATGTCATTTCCCTTGAGCACAGGTTGTCACCATTTTACTACTGTAATGCAAGTGAATTGATGTGGCGTGGATGTTTCCTTTTCTGTGGGGCTTGTGGTTAGTTGTTCACCTACTTGTCACCTGCCTTACCACGTGTCGTATTTCTGTGACCTACAGAGAAAGAACTAAGAACATGTAATGCAGGTCATGTTGTACTAGATGTACCATAGTTGATGTTGTCTGGGCTTGTGTTGCTGTATTAACCTCAAGCCTTCTGGAAAAAGCCTTAAATGACACACTAGTTATAGTCTACTTTAACAGTTTCTTTGCCAGGATCACAACTTGTGTATGGCTGTGAGGAAGGTTGTTTGTTTTTTCCTTTTTTTTTTTTTTGTTGTTTTTTGCCCCTGAACTTTGGTTTCCCTGTTTAAAGCTAATGTTGGATTATTTGGGAGGTGTTAACATGGACAGGCAGTAGGAATGGATGATATTGCCATAAGGTAATAATGCTACTCATCCCAGATTATAAAGCCCTCATCCTTCTGTCTGAAATGTTGCCTATCTAAGGATTTAGGATGGTGGAGAAAAAAATGACTTGATAGCAGATTTAATAGGTATTTAGCCCAGGGATGTAGCAGTTATTTTAAGGTATTTGAACTGTTTTTAGTTGTTACATGTAATATCCTCATAGTTTAATTTATTTTTTGGACCACTGCATCCTGAAGCCATAGGTATTTTCACATTAGGTGCCATAGGTGACATTCTGATGCAGGCAATAGGTTTGCATCATTGCTTTAATGTCTTTCACAACAGCAGTTCTTTTTTTCCTAACTGAATTGTTCTCAGAACATCGTACAGATTAAAAGGGAGAAAGAATTGCAAGATAAATCTTCAAAGAGACAATTCTCTTACAAGCTGTAGCTTTTCTGGAGTTCAGTCTTTGTACTTAATGGCAGTTTTTTTTTTTTTTTAATTACTTTTTAGTTTAGGTTTTTAGTTTTTTTTTCTGGCTCTCAGTTTTGATGTGCCTGCCCCCTGAAGCTGCTATTAAATTAAATCTTGACACACACGTATGATCTGTGTGTGTGTGTGTGTGTGTGTCTGTGTGTCTGTGGTGATGATATGGGCTGTATCAGTGAAACAAGTTCCTATTTATTTGATGGGTGAAAGTTGTCACCAGTCAAATGCAGGTATGTTTGGCTGTTTGTATGTCTTACGAGCCAAATTTTAAAGAAGATTATGTATTAATGAATTAAAACTGACCAGTATTCAAGGTGGCAGAGTGAAGTCTGACCCACTGTGGCCTAAAGACCTTCCAAGCCTGTTTGAGTTTCTTTAACATTAAGTTGACTGGGTGAAAACACTAAAGGATTAGACAGACCCGCCCTGTTAATGTTGAACTGCCTCGTTACAGCCCACCACAGTCAGGTTCTGCAGTTTCATATGAAGTGCCTCCACTGGGTGTAGTATGGAGAAGTGTGTGTGTGTGTGTGAGTGAGACTGAGTGCTTGCGTGTATGTTAAGCTTGGGTACTTGCACACAGGTGTGCATGCTGACAGAGGTGCACAAAGTTGATCTCTGATGGGGGGGACCAAGCTGCTTAGTATAACTACTGATACTGTGTCATGGACTGAAGTCCTGGAGTGTGCCACGATTCCCAAACACTGTCAGGATGTGTGAACTGTTTGCTGCTGACTCACTGACCAAAGTGACCAGAAGTCCCTCTCTAACCACTCTGGCTGAAAGCCTGTAAAAGCTTGTTAATGAGCAGCAACCTGGTGACCTAACAAAAAGCTGCTGGGGTTCAATAAAGTCGTGTGAAGTAAACGTAACGATGTGAAATGCGCATTTATTTAAAAAAAGGAAAAAGACAGAGGAAAAAAACAAAAAACAAAACTAAATGACTTTAAAAAAAAAAGAAAAAAATCTAGAGTGAGTCGTTCCTTTCTGCAGAGTGCACCTCAAACGTTCTGGCTTTACCCAGAAATCTGGAAATGCATTAAAATACAGAAATATTGTTCAAGAACCGCATCAAGAATCACATCTACTTAAGGATGTTGTAGCTCAGCTTTTAAGTTGATTCAGATGGCAATATTTACTGGGGCACAGACATAACAACTCTCTCTAGATTTTGACTGATTTATATAATTGTCTTTGGTTATCAAAGACATGTTGTGAACAGTGGTGGAGGGGGGGCTTACTTTCTCTACTTTGAAAATGTGATATTCCACTTTTGCCTAACCTTCAGGAAGAAATGTCTTGCACAAACATTCCCCTAACCAAAATAAAGTTTTCAAACACAGCTATTGACTGACTTTTTTTTGTGAGCAACATGTTTCAAGGGTTTAAAGCTAATAAAACTGCATATATGGAATTTCACTTGAATCTGAATTCAGTTTAAGTAGAAAGATATTTGTATGAATATTGAATGGACAACATTCTCCTTCAGGTTTTTCAGGTAGAGCAGAATTTATGGTTCCATCTATTACAGCAAGTCATCCAGCTTCCAAAGCAGCCAGACCATCACACTACCACCAGGTCTGATTGTTTGTTTCACCTTGGAACTTTCCCATAGGCGCTGTTTTTGCTTGGTTTCTTTATTGTTGTTGAATCATGAACACTGATCTTAACTGACAAGTGAAGCCAGCAGTTCTTTAGATCATTGGTGGGGAACTCCAGATCTCAAGGGCCGGTGTCCTAGAGGTTTTAGATGCATCCTTGATCCAACACAGCTGATTTAAAAGGTTAAATGACCTCCTCAACATGTCTTCCGAGGCCTGGTAATGAACGAGTCATTTGATTCAGGTGTGTTGACCCAGGGTGATATCTAAAACCTGCAGGACAGACATAACTGTCTCTAGTAGTGATGTGCGATACCACTGATTTCCTTTCCAATCCGATACCAAGTAAAATTCAGGGTGGTATCGACGATACTGATCCGATAACAACACTTTGTACAAAAACATTTTATTTATTGTATCTCAAATTATAGCATCATAATGATTACAGGTCATCAGATTACTTGTTCTTATCACCTAATAATGCAGAATTCATCATATAGAAATAAAAAACCTGAAGTTGTGTGCTATTTGAACACCTTGCCTGCCTGCAGCACTAAAGGACTCCATGAGAGACGTCTGTCTCGCCCTAGCAGCACCTGTCCCTGTCCACTCCTCTTCCAACCCCTCTTCAGTTTGCCTCAACATACGCTCGTCGTATTCTGTGATGGTTTACTCTGAGGTGTTTGACAAATTTGTGGTGTTGCCACAACACCTCACTTTCTTGCCACATGTATCGCAAACCACGTTTGTGGATGTAAAATACGTCCACACATGACTCCAGCCATTATTGTGAGTGCGCACACCAAGGGGCCGTGACACATTTATACAGCCGTATTTCGCTCATGACTATGAAAGGCGGAAGAGGAAGTAGTTCCTTCCAGTCTAGACAATCCGAATGAAATAGGTTCTTCCCACTGTGTTCCTGTTAATGATAAGCTACAAATTTACCCTAAATTACTAAACTATCGATATTTTAATGTGAGAATCGATTCTAGAACATAAATGATTGGTATCGAAGGAATCGATATATCCACACATCACTACTCTCTAGATTTTGACTGATTTATATAATTGTCTTTGGTTATCAAAGACATGTTGTGAACAGTGGTGGAGGGGGGCTTACTTTCTCTACTTTGAAAATGTGATATTCCACTTTTGCCTACTTGAGGCCTGAATTCCCCCACCCCTACTTTAGATGTTCTTCAGTCGGGGATAAAAATAAAAAAGAGAAGTTAGGAAAAGGCACATTCTTTCTCTCGGCACTGTAAAAGATGTCATCAGTTTTACCAATTTGACTGTTGCTAAACTGGCAACATACTTAGATAAGAGGGCTAAGTTATAAGCTAATGCTAGCCAGTTTGTTTAGATAACTGCATGCATAAACTATCGATGCAACGCACAGATACCTGCTGACTAGTGCTGAGTAAAATAATAAAATTCCCGAATTTCATTCACCAAACCTGAAGCACAGACTTCTTGGACAATCAGTTTCATGCCAGATAATTGTTTTGAAATGTTCTAAAAGACACAGACCAACAAAAAAAACAAAGAAAGAATACGAGTTCAATAACTCCAGTCAGCAAAGTTATTGCCTAGCCTGCAGCTTTGGACTAAAGCTAACTGTGTCAGCACACTCGTCAATCAAAGCAGCCGCACCATAACTTGAGCATCCGGATTGATGGGTTATTAGAAAAAAAACTTCCTCTGCCTGTTGTTAAGTAGGAAACAGTGCATAAAGACGAACACTTTCTGTGCCATCTTTAAACCTGCTTTTCATTGCTGTTAAGTTGAACATTTTAACCTCAGTTTGTGGGTGGATTGCCCAACTTGTGGAAATAGCTTTGAGTTGACATTGGAGGAATTGCAGTTTTAGGCACTTCATGATGACTTCTTCCTTCAGTTAGAACAGTTGGAAGAAAATAGTTCAATTTAGTTTTATTTTATTTATATCACGCTGAATTGCAAAAGCATTCACCTGAAGATGTTTTACATTGTATGAAGGAGACACTGCAATAATACAGAGAAAACCACCAATCAAACAAGGAAGCACTTGGCAACAGTGGGAAAGAAAAACTCCCCTTTAACAGGTAGAAAACTCCGACAGAACCAGGCCTGGAAGGGGCAGCCATCTGCTATCTGAACTACAGAAACGGGCACAAATTGAAACTTCAGTCCAGGAATCTCCTGTCCTCAGCTTAACCATAATATAAATAATATACACTTGAAGACCAAGATACACGACCAACAAATCAGTCTTTAAGCTGCTTTAAGAGAACCACAAAATAATCGGTTTAGATGAAAAGTTTCTTTAAGACATAATAATTTAATAGTGATTACCAAAGTGAGGGCTGGGCCTGCTGGTGGGCCACAGTAATAACAGAAATTCAGGTTGTAATTATTCACAGGTATGAACAGTTACACATTTATATAGACTTTTTTATTTATATTAAATCTGTTTGTAAGTTTGTTGGTTAGTTTGTGATATTATTCATTATTCTGACCTAAATTTACTGCTCTTATATTTAAGTCTGGGTCCCAGTGGCATGTGGACAGTGTTGGGGAGTAACGGAATACATGTACCGGCGTTACGTATTTAAAATACAAAATATGAGTAACTGTATGCCATTACAGTTACCATTTAAAAAGGTGGTATTCAGAATACAGTTACTTTGTTGAAATAAAAGGATCACATAGCGGTCTTTTCCTGTTTCACATGTTAGGCTATGCAATCTTTTGGTAATTCCACGTCAGTGGAAACCCAAAAAAAAACACGCACTAAGAGGCTCTAATGTCTGTGTCTCAATGTCATGGCCCATGTCACCTCTACTTGCGGCCACATAATGACATGAAGAAATATTATTTTTAAATTATTGTTCAAAAAATTATTTAATATAAAGGCAATAGGCAGAGTGTTCCAGGCATAGCCCGAAAGAATGCAGCCTCATGGGCAGTGTAGCCCAGTTGTAAGTAAGCTATTAAGACTCGACTGTACACTGTGTTCGTGTTTTCCTCCAAAAACAATAAGTTCCGTTGGAGCAGCCTTTCAACGCCTCTCTCTGTCTCTCGCTAGCAAAGTTGACCCAGACAACAAAGTAAAGCTAGTTTTCGGCTACAAGCCCGACATGGAACCAACATATTAGCCCAGGGGTGGCCAACTCCAGGCCTCGAGAGCCGGTGTCCTTTAGGTTTTAGATGTGTCCTTGATCCAACACAGCTGATTCAAATGGCTAAATGATCTCCTCAACATGTCTTGAAGTTCTCCAGAAGCCTGGTAATGAACTAATCATTTGATTCAGGTGTGTTGACCCAGGGTGAGATCAAAAACCTGCAGGATGCCGGCTCTCGAGGCCTGGAGTTTGCCACCCCTGTATTAGTCCCTTTACTACGGTTTGGAGCCTCAGACTTGTTTTATATACGCGCAGAATCGTTTTAATACGAGATCGCTGCTAAAAGTGCAGCCTTACCTAATGTTCACTTACTCATTTATATTAAGATTTAAAAATCTAGTTGGTATTGGTATGGCGAGTAACCTTCAGTAATACGAATAAATCACACAACAATTGCACATTCAAGTAGTTGTAAAAAGCTTGATAATATATTAAGTAATCCAAAGTAGTCAGAATACGTTACTCTCATTGAGTAATGTAACGGAATATGTTACAAAATACATTTTGGGGCATGTATTCTGTAATCTGTAGTGAAATACATTTTAAAAGTAACCTTCCCAACACTGCATGTGGATCATCCAATGGGCTTAACGTTGTTTTTTTTAGATAAGATTTTTAGCAAAATACATCACTTTCTTCTGTACTTTGATTCAATTTTCTAGTTTTTAGTGGACCTCAGCGTTTTTGACTTTGGGAATTGCTGAGTTAGTGTAACTATTCTCACTTTCTCGAATTTCTGCGGTATCTGTCCCAGTGATAGATTGAAATTGAAAATAGCCATTGTTTCGAAAACAGCATCAGTGTATTTACAGGTAATCTCCCCCTTATTAAGAGTTACACCTGCATTTGTTGTTTCTATTTAAGTATTGCTGTGTTAGGAATTCATTGCTGTTGAGTCAATGATTGTTGCATCTGTCCACCAAAGGCTGGGTCTGGACTATGTTTTAATAGGGGTAACACCCACATAAACAATAGAGAGGCTGTGGAAAATCACAGGCTGAAATGCACCTGTTTCTTTCTGCAACCATATAAAACTATTTTACATATAACTGTGAGTGCAATCCTATTTTATAGCGCATATTAGCAGTGAAAATGTGCTTTCTAAACACAGTGCAATGCACAAAGACAGTGGGGCGAGCTGTTTTTAGTCTCATCTTGCCCTTGGATATAATAAGCAGGGTTTACTGAAAATACAAATATATAAATGTAATATTTTGTATATTAACACTGGTCATGTTTTGCTTTTTGTTACTAAAGCTGTCACTTTAGTCTGAGAAAAATTGCACCTACTAATTTAAGCTAACCATTCTTCCCTCTCCGTGTCAGTGGGCAAGAGTATTATCACACTCCTTTCTCTCATTGTATACACTGTTTTGTTTGTTTGTTTGTTTGTTTGTTTGTTTGTTTGTTAATTAGTTTGTTTGTTTGTTTGCTTGTTTTAATCAATTTTAAATCATGCTTTTTATTTGTTTTTGTTTCTAATGTCTCTGTAAAGCACTTTGAATCACCTTGTTGTTGAATTATGCTATACAAATAAACTTGCCTTGCCTTGCCTCTGAGTGACTGGTGCATCTCCATGCTTTCCACAGAAGAAGGACACAATAAAGTAAAGCACACTGTTTAGGAAAGATATTTTTAATGAATTAATTGTAGTAACTTAGTGTGTAACATTTAAATATTTGTTTTCATTCAATCTGTCCAGTCTGATGTACTAATTTACCCTAAATAAACAGACATTTTCTCCACGAGTAAACCAAAGAGAACTTTATTCCATTTTCACATGTTTGAAAGTGTGACTTACGTGATAATAAGTACAGGAGCTATAATATAATTATATGAAGATAAAAAAAATAACAAAGATACTTTTAATTCTACCCATTTAAATGGAAACAGAATCAGTTGGCTAGTTGCCCTCCTCAATACATCATTTAAGTAATATAATATCCAGCAGAATTTCTTGTGCACACTAAAGATGCAAGATAAAACATTTTCTGAAAAGTCGACTCCTCCCTCATATGCATCACATTCGTTTGAGGTGATCTTGAAACAAATGATGCGTGAGATATTGTTCTTTGTTTCTACTCAGAAGAATGAAACTTATTTACACTTGTGACCAGACTGCATTTTGTTACTACTTTTCAATCTTGTTCCTCGGTGGAAACTGAAACACCCATGTCTTAATATATCAATACTAGGATGTGAACACTCAGCTATCATAACACTGTGAACACGTAATAAAGAATGCAAAACAACTGACAACAGCAAACTCCTCTTCGGCATATACTTCAGTTGTGTGTAGGTAGGTAACACTTTTTATCCTATGGCTCAAAAGTTTGACTTTAAATAGAGTCATGCAGATTCACACACATGCATCTGTGCTATCTAAATATTTAATTTAATACAAAAATTGCAGCTCTTTCATTGCAATCACAAATTTAAATTTGCCTGCTCAAGAATGTGACAATCAAAAATTCTGAACCCAAGCTGAAGCTCTGTTTATAGAAGACAGGTAATGGGAAACCAGTCAGGACATAGTGGGCTTTCAGGGAGAAAGCTTGAAAGGGACATGAGATAGAACTGCTTGTTTCAAACTGGAGCTGCTTAAAGTGCAATAAAACATCATTATTAGCAGTGACTAATATAAAGCTACTTCAGTCTAATCTGGTTCTGGCTCTAGCCAAAATAATTGGGGGATTTTTATATTCTGCTTAATCTAGGGAATGTGGGACTGCTGCTGATGTTGACCACGGTTGTGTATCCTCTTCAAGAGCAGATTTACAGGCCCTCGAATCCCTGAAGATTTAAATGGTGCCTCTTTAGTAGCATTTTTGCAGAAAGAAATCGTAAAAATGTGCATGTGGTCTTTTGTCCTACCAGTAAGGCTGCTGTGAAGCTTGCTTCCAGTTTGGATTTGGGAGACAGACACTTTTAAGATTAGGCTTAAAACTTTCCTTTTTGCTAAAGCATATAGTTAGGGCTGGACCAGGTGACCCTGAATCCTCCCTTAGTTATGCTGCAGTAGGCACATGCTGCTGGGGGACTCCCATGATGCACTGAGTTTTTCCTTTTCAATTCAATTCAATTCAATTCAATTTTATTCATATAGCGTCAAATTACAACAACAGTTGCCTCAAGGCGCTTTATATTACACAGTAAAATAACAGGTATGATTCAATGCAGAGAGGTCTATTAGTCAGTCACCTTTTTCACTCACTGTGTGTTAATAGACCTCTCTGCATTGAATCGTACCTGTTATTAACCTCTGTCTCTCTTCCACAGCATGTCTTTATCCTGTCTTCCTTCTCTCACCCCAACCGGTCGCAGCAGATGGCTGCCCCTTCCTGAGCCTGGTTCTGCTGGAGGTTTCTTCCTGTTAAAAGGGAGTTTTTTTCCCCACTGTCACCAAAGTACTTGCTCATTGGGGGTCATTTTCTCTGTATGTATTATTGTAGGGTCTACAATATAAAGCAAGACACTTCACCCGTTGTCTACTGGTGGTGGTTAGAGGGCTCGGTGGCACCAGTGTCCGGCGGCCTCGCCTCTGTCAGTGCGCTCCAGGGCAGCTGTGGCTACAGTGTAGTTTGCCATCACCAGTGTGTGAATGTGTGTGTGGATGACTGAATGTAGTGTAAAGCACTTTGGGGTCCATAGGGACTAAGTAAAGCGCTATACAAATACAGGCCATTTACCATTTACTGAGGTGACTTGTAAATAAAATATAATATCCAGTATCTTAACTAATATAATGAAGAATTGCCTGGAATTTTTGAGGTCATGGTTGCAGACTTTAACAGCATCCCACCTGCAGGTTCCAGATGTTTTTGCTTTGGTATGAGAGTCTTTCAACTGTGTTGCTCATCAGGGCTATCAGCATGTTCAGCAGGAGGATGTATGTGAGAACTATCTAAGAGATGAGCAGGATGTGGTAAACTTCTTTGTACTGAACGTCGTCCATGAACTACAGATCTCCCATTCCAATAGTGAACTTGAACATTTCCAGTATAGTAAAACGAACGTCTCTATAACTTAGCTTATTTACAGAAGTAGTCAAGCTCCCTCCTTGTAGCTGTATGTCAGCTGTCAGGTTTTGGGCAGCTGACACTACTGTAGGCGGGTCATGTATAAGAGCAACAAAAGCTATAAAAAAAAAGAGAAAATCCAAGTCAAAACTGCAAATCTTGGTAAGCATCTATTTTGCACGTCCTTATGTTCTTAGATTTGGAGTCTATTAAAATCTTACCAGCAGAAAATCCAAAAAGCAAGACACAGTAAACGGATAAAAAGTGCAACAGGTCACGTAAGATCATGTAAAGAGAGACACATATTTTAAACTGAGCCACTCATATCTGCCCAGGCAGCCTATTTTGATCGTTTTGGTAACAAAACTCTTACCCTTTGCATCATGACACCATACATCCCTAATTGCTTGGAACCTCTTAGGTAGTAAAGAAAGTTCACCCAGGCAAGAAGCAAGGAGAGCACAAGAAGTCCAACGTATTCCTCCTGCCCACAGCCATACATAATCACACAGATCAGGAGTGCTGCCTGCAGGAAACTGCAAAGACAAGAGATTTCTAAGACAGCAGTAATAGTAAGGTCAGGGTATAAAAAAATATTTCATGGTGATAATTACAACACAATATCATCGAATCCATCAATAGATAGGACCCTGAAATTCGGAGGGTTCCTACAGAAATGATTTATCTAGGGATTTCAAGGTTATTACATTAGTAAGTTTAACTCTTTCTGTGTGAATGATGTGACCAGGTTCCACTTTCTTAGCGTCTTATAGAGAAAGATTAGTGCTCCAAAGACACTGAGGATCTCACCAACACAACGGAGATGGTCAAGTGGAAAATTTTCAATGCGAAATGGCGGCTGAGGGTTTAATAGTCTTTGCTTAGGCAAAGGTGAATGTCTTAAAACATAAACATTTGTCATTTAAGTTAGAGGATGTTTAACCCTTTTTACCTTTCCATCCTTTCTGTGCAAGGCCACAGCAGTGAAGATGGTCAGGTAAACCACATAAAGCAAGAAATTCATCAAGAATAATTTGGAAGCGAACCTTTCCCACTTATTCTGAAGAAAACTGCAAAGTGGTTCAATCTGAAGCATCTCGGGACGATTCTGAAATTTACAAGATAGGTTTTATATTAACCTCCTTTATATTAACCCAAACTCTTTCATGGCATGCATTTTTAATTTCTCTTTGCTATTTGGGCTGATTGGGACCAGATGAATGTAAAAACAAAGAATTACCTGATTTTTTTCCTGATTTTTGTTTCTGAGAAAAATGAGATCCACATAAGAGGACATTTGTTTTAAATTTCGCTAGAACAGTATATATCATATATTTAATATTTGCTAAATTTATCCCATGCAATACTATCTAAGCACAGTGAGGCAAGAGGATTTTGCTACTGTTAATTTCTCTCTACACTGCCTATGCATAGAGTACTTCTAGTTTCATCTGAGCACATTCAACACTGTTTCCATCATTGTTTAAAAGGCTCTACTGCCTCTACAAACATACCCCACAGCATACCCCATTTCCTACTTTATCTAAAACATTGGAGGGAATAAAGCATAGAAATATAATAAAATAAATTAAAATGAGGTCAAAATTGGAATTTCTCACCGGAATCTCACTCCCAAAAATTATTATCTCTAACACAGAGTTTTCTTCATTGGTGTCAATGGAGGTCATGTCATAAAGTGAAGAATGAACAGGTCCGTAGACCCATTCTGTAAACCTCCTGGATAGTGGCCTTGTCTCCTCATCCATGAATTCTCGATGCAGCATGTGCCTAAACAGCTGGCAAATGAGAGAGCAGAAAGGAAAAGATCTATCTCAGAGACATTATCATTTTTATTTTCAGTGCTTGCTGTAAGTAGGTCAGGTCATAATAAACCTTTGTTAAATGCCCATTAATGCCACCTGGGACGCCAACTTCTGTGGAGGCAGAGGTCTATATTATATACATGTGACCTCTAACCACGTGACTTTAACTTGTCTGCTGTTTTGCTTGTGTGACAATTATGGTGACTGTATAGAATCAAGGCCCCATTCACACAGGCCTCCATGACTATCTGGTAACCACCAGCCATGAGGAGAATGTGAGTATTATTATTTATTATAATAAATAAATAAATAAATCTTTGTTATTCTACAAAATGTGCAGCCATTTAATTTTTATTTTTTATTTTTTTAGGTGATGGTCTGTGGGATCTGTGAGAAGCCATGTGGTGGAGAGGCAGCCAAGGAATGCTACCATAGATACCACAGTGGACGTACAGAGGTACATGGCAGATCCTTTGATTCCCCGGACAGAGGATCCACTCTACTTCTGGGCAACCAGGAAGACTATATACCCCCATCTTTACAAACTTGCGTTGCAGTTCCTGTGCACTCCAGCATCATCTGTTCCATGTGAGAGGATTTTCTCTAAGGCAGGAGAAATTACATCCAAGAAACAGACTCAGTCCTCACACAGTGGAACAAATTCTTTTCTTAAATAAAAACCAAACAGGATAACCTTAAATGCATCGTGTTTACTTTAAAAGTTTATAGAAGTTTATAGTTTTAAGCATTTTCCCCTCCCAGTTCACAATCAATTCTTTCCCCAGGTCCAAATATGTAAGAGATTTGCCCAATATAATAATATGATTTATAAACATACCTGTCCAGCTCTCCAGTGGTTAATTGCTAAGTACATGATGTATCGGAGGGGCTGGCCCAGCACTTCCTGTTTATATAAGTTCATGATGTCATTGATAGCATCACTGGGTGCAACCAAATGAAGGGTTTTTCCTTTTTGCATAGTATTGTTTATTTTCTATAAAGCAACCTTTTGAGTTTTACTGTATAAAGTGTTTTACTTTTCAAACCATTTAGTTGTGTAAATGGGTGTGTAAAGTAAATGAATATTCTTATTCTTGTTTCTTTTTTTAGATTGTGTTGTTTGATCTAACCTATTTCTTAATGGTAGTGACTAATGAGGTTCAGGTGCGTGTAAAAAAAAAAAGTATACAAAATGAGATGGCAGAATGGAGATGCCAGAAAATAAAATACACTAAGAAGAAATTTGACCAGTCTGCTGATAACATCACCTTTATTAGTCCCACACATGGGAAATTTGTTTTGTTACAGCAGAAAGTGAACAGTGCACAGTTATATAGCAAAATTTAGAGAACACTGGAATACAATAAGAATAAGATACTGTACACAACTGTACAGAATAGAAAAGAATAAAATAAAATATACAATAGGATAAAAATAGAATACAAATGCTATATACAACTGCGTTAAAATACAATTTTGTCAGAAAAAGAATATTGCACTTAGTCTTATTGCACATGTGTGGGTTTGTGTGTTCAATTAGCTGCAAAGTCTTTGTTGTGGAGTCTGACAGCAGTGGGGAGGAAAGACCTGTGAAATCGATGCTGAAGTTGAGAAGTAGATGCCATCTACTTCTCAACTTCCTTACCGCTTGAACTACATTACCTCACCAAGTATCATTCAAAATTGTATTTCAAATAAAAGAAACAAAAACAAAGCCTTACACAAACCCTGGAGTGTGCGGTCAGTACAATCTGTGGTATAGATGCATGCATGGGTGGAAGAATGGCGTACGCAATATTGCTTAGTACAGAACCAAACCAAAGGCAAAGGTGTCTCAAAGTAAAGCAGCACCCAGCAACTGACTGCTTATGGCTGTTAGAGAGCACAGGGCCCAGGTGTTGCCATTGTCACTGATTGGGAATGAGCCCTTCCACCCCTCCAATGCCTGCAAATTAGACACACAAACAGCCTAAATTTTTTTTTAAAAAAAGGCAATATGGAGTGGGTCGTCACACCACTGGTCTCTCTCTGACTCCTTGTCCTTGCATACACTCAACCTTGCCTCCTCTTTACATACATATTGCGTGGCCACTCTGACTACATGCCACTACTTTTCCACAACCATCTTTTTTCTTTTCCTAATTGCTAATTGACACACTCATTTTCCCCACCTGTGCCACTTTCAAGAGATGTTTTTCAGTTTCACTTGTTTCACTGCCATCTGCCAAAATCCCTTCCCTCAAAAAAAGTTGCATAAAGTCAGGGTTCCAGGCAGTTCTTGGCCAAATGAGATTCAGCATAAAGTACATTTCCTTAACTCTTTAGAGCATAACACAAAGCCTGTAGAGTGTTGCAGTTTTGGCAACAAACCTGTGTGTAATTATCAACTGAGTGTCTGCACTGCAATGTACCCACCCCACATGCCATTTGGACTCTCCCTTGACCCATTCCTTGATAAACATGAGTTTGTCAAAATTACAAGTTGTTAAGTAAGTAAAGACTGCTCCTCCTCTTAACAGGTCATAATTTTAAAATCCATCATGTTATTATGAATGTAGTTTAGAAAATGCTTCTTACAAAAATATCAAAAGACAATAAAAATAAATAAATAAAAAGGATGCCAATGTTCATCTTGCTCCTTCATCAATTAGTAAGCTTGGGGGGTTGCTAAGGCATTCCAGTGAGAAAAAAGTGAGAAATACTGACTGCAGCATCATTGGTGTCTTTTATTTCTTTGTTTCTTGGCTGCTGGCGAAAGTATTGTCCCTAAGAACAACTGCATAGGATCGAGGTTTGGGACAGTTTTTAGCCAAGTGAGATTCTGCATTACATAAATGATATTTCCTTAATTCATTGTAGTCTCTTACGTTGTGTCCCAGTGCATTACAACTTCAGCAACACACCTGGCTACATGCATCTTCTGTATGTCGATATGTACTGCATTTCTAAAAAATTATTAATTGACATAATGAATCCCCCAATCTGCACGAATAGTGAAACATGCAGGTGGGTGACAATGTCTTTCATAACCAGTTGGGTCTTCCTTTAATTTAATTCTAAATTGTCTTTTCCCTGTCCATATTCCCAATGCAACTTTGATCTCCTTGACTCTGGGTAGCACAGTTACAAATGTCCCTAAAAAATATTGTATTGTCTTTCGGACATCCACGGATTGTCCGTGTGGACTGTCACAGTCTGGTAGTCGTTATGGTACAAGGGAGTTACAAGAAAGTCTTGAAGAACGATGTTAGCAAGCTCAAGTACTAACCTGGTTGGTTAGTATTTTCTAATCCATACTAAGCAAACTAATCGGTCTAAAATTAGACGGGTCTGTTGTGTCTCCATTTTTCTTCCTTTTTGTCCCTCTCCAACCAATTTCAGGACCTGGTACAGATGTTAAAGCTGGTGAGGCGTGATTGCAGATGCCATGCAGGTGTGTCCATCTCCCCTGCAGCAGCACCGCAGACCACGCCCCGCCACAAGACCACGTGCTATTCTTTCATACGTTAAATCACATTTATGACCATCTCATCCTCTCCACACTTTCCTGTGGGGCATTGAAAACTTCTTGTGGACTCCCTCCTTTTTAGGAATGTTCTTGTGGGTAAACATTCCAGAACAATTTGCCATGCCAAATCTTTTTAACATTATTCCAAGTCAACTTGCAAGACTTTTTATTCTGTTTAAAGGGAGTAAAATTGATTTCCGGCTAATGGCAGTTTGGTGTGAGTAGTAGTAGTAGTGAGCTACTGCAGAGTTGGCTGTTTTTTCAATTAAAGGAGGCCTTTGACCTCGCCGAGGAGCCGCTGCTAGATCCTGTTCACCGTACTCTGCCTCCCAAGCCTAAGACAGGTGAGCAGCCCCATGCCATAGTAGTGAAACCACATTACTATACTGATTGTGTTAAAATCCTGTCGAGGGCAAGGGAGCTTCAGTGGATTAAGGTGAACAATTTGACCGACTCTGTTTTCCCCAATTAGGCTGCCAAGATGGCGCAAGCATGTGCAGCCTTCAAAGACTGCTGCCGCCAGCTCAAGGGGTCCGGTTCCCACTGCTTCACCCAGCCTGGCTGCGGATTACTCGTGATGGGGTCACACTGGATTTTACCTCTACAGAGGAGGCCAAAACTTACAAGATGATAACCAAGTAAGAAAAATATACCTAGGGGAACTGTCGAGGTTTCCGGTTTATACTTTTGAGGAGTTTATTTTTCTTTCTCTTGGGTAAGCTATTCTTTGATGTTCAAAAAAATGTATGGGTCAGTTTTTAAATGTTTGTTCCTTATGGGTTTAAGTTAAACAGTACTTTCACGGCAGGCATTCTTGGTTCTTGAGAATACTGCCTATCGTATATTTTCCTTTTATACTACTTGTCTAGTTCTGCAGAATTCACCCAGCACTTAGAAGTGTTTTTTTTCCCCTATTGCGCTATTTAACTGTAAGCACAAGTTTGTCATTGACTCTGTACCGTTCCTTCATTTGGGGAAGGACAGAGTGCAAGCAAGGGGAGGGATGGATGGGTGGTCTGAAGCGTAAAAAAAATGTGAAAAACCCAGATATAATATTTTTACAAGAAACACACCTGCAGGATACACATCATTTCAAGCTTTAGTATTCGTGGGTTGGGGAGATCTTTCATTCAGCCTTTAACTCTAAAGCCAGAGAAGTAGTCTTGGACTTCATGTCTCAGAATGGGTTTGTAGATCCTTGGAGGACACATAATCCACAAACAAAAAAGTATTTTTATTCCTCTGAGGTACACCAGTTCTATTCCCATATAGATAATTTTTTTGTTGATAGTTCTCTAATGCATAAAGTCAAGTCTTCTGAATACTACCCAATCGATATTTCAGAACATGCTCTGCTAAGCCTTGATAAAAACTTCATTGGTAGACCTCGCTCTTGCCCCCCCTTGGAGATTTAATACTCTTTTACTATCTGACGATTTATTTAACCTTTTCATTCTATTAGCAATCAATGACTTTCTGGTCAACTATATCAAATACATATAGCTGCCAAGTGGCCTATATAGAAGATAGGCAATATATGTAACTGTATATTCCATGATATATTCTTACCCTGAACTCCGCATGTTTGATCTAAATCCAAAATATGTGGCAAAGCTACAGCCATGCGGTTGGCTACTACTTTGCTCAGTCTCTTATAATCAACATACAGCATCATTAATGGGCCACAATTAGCAAGCAGTTTTGCGTCTCCTTTCTTATATAGCAACAAAACTGCACCCGTTTGCATATTCTTACCCATTTTCCCTGTCTTATCTATTTCACTAACCACTTCTTTTAAATGCCCTCCTAATATATTCCAAAAGGTCATATAAAATTCCTTCATCAGGCCATCTACCCCAGCACTTTCCTGTCCTTCGTTTTTAACATCATATAGTTCTTCAAAAGTTATCTCTTCCTCTAAAGCAGACCTTCCCAAAGTGTGGGGCCCAGAGCCATAGCGGGGGGGGGGGGACAAAACTCTTGGACACTGCTAGCAGCCAGAGCAGGCAACATTGAGGGAAATTTAAAACTGCTGGCTAAGGGTAAACATAAATTTAGTAAAATTATAATTCACGACAGCAGTAATGACACCCGGTTATGTCAGTCGGAGGTCACTAAAATCAATTTCGGTGTTTAACTTTGCCAAAACAATGTCGGACTCTGTAGTTTTCTCTGGTCCCCTCCTCAATCGGACCAGGAGTGACATGTTTAGCCACATGTTCTCCTTCAATTGCTGGCTGTGCGAGTGGTCTCCAACATGTAGGCTTTATAGATAATTGGGAAACTTTCTTGAGGAAACCTGGTCTTGTTAGGAGAGACGGCATCCATCCTACTTTGGATGGAGTAGCTCTCATTTCTGAAAATCTGGCCAAATTTATTAAAGCCCCCAAAATGTGACTATCCTGAGTTGCAGCTTCTCTCCTCTCAGCATATGTTGGCATACATCTTATTCTATTCATGCTTGATTGTCTGGCTGTTATGAACCTACCCATAATTTGAATCCCAGTGGCTGGATTTTTTTTCTGTGTGTTCTGTATTTTTAAGAACCTGCAGGTCCTTGCTGATTGGAGAGCTGGCAGCTGCTGATTGATTTCCTGATCAAGTGGCTGATTTGAAAAACTCTCTCCAGCAGTTGTCCTGGGGCAGCAACTGACAGCAGCAGCAGACCTGTCCTTGGCCTCCGAAGCCCTCGATGACTTTTTGCGTGTGTGTTCCCTGAGGATCGCTGAGCTGTGTAAATAGATTGTAGTTACTTTTCACGTGTAAAAAGGTACTGAAGCAGAAGGGGTGAACTGCCTTATTATTATCTGTACTGTTTTTTCAGTTAGGGAGTTAGGTTTAGCACTTGTCTTTTGTTTGGTTTTTGTTTCACCCAGGGTTTAGATAGTGTTTTGCTTTGACAGTCTGCATCCTACGTTAATGTTTTCAGTTTTGCGTCTGCTTTGTCTCGTCATGTTTGATTACTCCCAGCTGTGCTCTCCTTCTGTGTCTCCTTCCCTCGTTATCCCTCTTTGTATTTAAGCTCTGTGTTTGACTTGCTCTGTGTTGCAATCTCCCTCATTCCACACTGTGTGTTCTGTCTGCAAGCCTGCCTGTTTAGTTATTTGTAGTTTTCTAAGGTTTTTTTTTGTTTTTTCTTTTGCCATCCACCAATAAAGCTGAGTTTGAATTTACTTTTTTGCCTCTGTGAGTCAGCATATTGGGTCCTCCTTTCTTGTCTCCCGCACACAGTACAAATCACATCGTAGTGCTTATTGGCAGAGCTCTGTTGTAAGCAATATATTTCCTCTGTGTTGATCTGCTTCGAAAAGAATCATTCTCCCAAAAGACAGTCTGTCCATTGATTCTTCAGTCTTGTCCTTCAACTCAAATCTTAAAATGTTTTTTGGTCCGGGCCACCATCTCAATTCCACTGGCCGACAAAATGCTTCCTCGTTCTGATAAGAATATTTTTGTTTTTGTTTTTTTGTTTTTAATTCATAAATTGAATAAGCAACATTACAGAGTAATGCCAATAATACAACCCCAAAAGCAACAATTCCATTTCCAGTTCAAATGCAGAAAGAGAGGGAAAGAACATCAATAATTGACATCATCATTTTTATAACATGAACCTCAGAAAATTCAAAAAAGTAAAAGCTTAAAAGGTCATAAGATTTGTCATCTGGTTATTTCTTGTTATTAAAAAATGCAGGGGAATGGAAAGTCAGAATCTGAGAAACACTTGAAATGTATGCAAATATCTTTCAGACAATTAGGTGCACAAGTTGCCGTAATAAAGCGCATCCAATTTTAAAGGGATGTGTGGAATATTTTTGCCACCATTCTCTATACATTGATAAAGAATTTCCCATTAAATGTCCTCATAGCTACCCCAAAAAAATCTAAACATGGACCTTTTATTGTTTCTTTTCTAACTGCTTCATGTATGGGGAATATGTAAGCCAGGTATAGCAGGGTAAGAAGTATATCTATTTTCATCACCAGTACTTTGCCAGTAAATGAAAGGTTGCAGGCTTTCCATTTTATTATTATTATTATTAATTTATTTATTTGCCATAGCTAATCTTTTGGACCAGTTGTGTAGGGCCCGCTAACCACCACTGTAGCGCTTACTGCACTGTGGTCCGAAAAGATTATCAGCGTCAACTTTTCATGGCCTCACATATATATATATATATATATATTAGGGGTGCAATGATACACAAAATTCACGGTTCGGTTCAATACTTTGGTGTCACGGTTCGATATTTTTTTGATACAAAACAGTGTTCATGCCATAATTTTTTAATTTGTCACTTATTAAAATTATAAATATATATTTTAACTCAAAAGTACAGTTAAGGAGTTACCGCGGATCGTCCCGTGCGTGGGGCTGGACGGCGTCAACACGTTAACGAGCTAACTGCGCTAACGCACTAGTTCCCACCAGTGTAATTGAGCATTGCGTGGCACATACTGTTTTACTTTTGTCCATGATGCGCTTACCATCAGGGTCATAATTCACATGAAAACCAAAATAGTTCCAAACGCCAGATCTGAATGAGAGTGTGGGAGGTTCTATTTTGGGTAGTGTTGAGGCAGTTGCCATGTTGCAACGAGCTTAACTTCTGTCTCGCTAGCTTGCTCTGCGCTCAGTGGATCTGCGCTCGACAGTGGAGCCTAGGCAGAGTAGTGGAACGCAGATCCACTGAGCTCTCAACACAGACAGCATCGTCAGAAGAAAAGTTGATAAAATAAATTAAAAATTTTGTATTGTTCAATATATACAGTATATATATATATATCCAGAGTGCTGCATGTGGAAGGGGGAGCCCTGTCTCCCACGCTGGCAACTCATACTTACCTGGCAGGGGACATACCATGATCACGAAGGTGGTTCACCCAAGGCTCTTGTCGGCAAGCATTCTTGAACGGCTTGCCACGCTAAGTCTTTATGAGGATTTAGCAGGCATTTGTTATTTACGTTACCCCAAGCCATTTTAGTGTGGGTTTCACGCAATTTTCCTATCGGTGACATACTACCTGTTGGAAACAATGTCTCCTCTATAGTTGCGCGAGTTATCTCCTGAAGGGTTATCCTAGTCGGAAGACGTTTCAGCAAACTAAACACTACCTTGTAGATTACAGGATATTGTTCAGAGAAGTGCACGTTAAGGGGGGGGCGCACACCCCACGCCTGCAAAACTTTCCGACCCACCCAAAACTTAGTAAAGTATGGCCAAAGTTTATCTTTAGGATCACTAAAACATGCCTTAAGAATTGGGGTGATAAACATCGCATTGCACTTGGACTCTAATTCTGGTACTGCTCTCCCCCCTTTCCCTACTGGTTTGTACATAACTTCCCTCTTTGCTCTCTCATGTTGACCTCCCCAAAGGAAATGAAACATCGCCTTCCTCAATGAAGTTAATATTTCATAAGGGATTGGCAACGTCGTTGCCAAAAAGGCTATAGAAGCTATTACTTCAGCTTTTATTACCAGAACCTTACCTATAAAGGAGAGTTCCCTATCTTTCCAGTTCAACAGTTTCCCTTGTATTTTTTGTAATTTTGAATTCCAATTCTTAATTCTCATATTTTCTCCTATTTCCACCCGTAAAATTTTCAACGTTTCTGATTTTTCTTGCAATCCCATTTTTTCTTTAATCTCACGCCACTTAAAGTAAATCACCTCACTCTTCTCTTTATTAATTTTCTACGCCGATAACATAAAGGAGTGCAGATAAGGGACACCCCTGACGAACACCGCAGTGTAAGTCCACCGCCCCAGTCAAGATCCCATTAACGACAAATCTACTACCGATCCCACTGTACAACAGTTTTACCCAAGAAATAAACTGCTCTGGAAACCCCATTTTCTGCAGCACTCTAAAGAGATACTGATGCGAGATCCGATCAAAGGCTTTCTCAAAGTCCAAATTTAAGACGATTAGCCGAATGTTTCTATCCCTCGCAAAACAAATGGTGTCCCTGATCAATACGAGGCTATCAGTGATCTTCCTATCCTTAACAGCACAGGCTTGATCTGGGTGAATTATCTGGCTTAGCACAGGGCGTATCCGTGCTGCTAAGAGTTTGCTAAAAAGCTTGCAGTCGCAATTTAGGAGCGCAATTGGTCTCCAATTTTCCATGTCGGTCTTGTCCTTTCCTTTATGAGCAAGAGTGACTACCCCTATTCTAAAACTGTCCGGCAGCCTGTCAAGTTGGCTAAAATCTATAAAAACAGAAAGTAGGTCCGCGGCCAAAATGTCCCAGAAAGTCCGGTAGAATTCCCACGGGAGTCCATCCATCCCTGGGGACTTCCCGTTCTTAAAATTGTTAAGACACTGATTGAGCTCAGTCAATGTAAAGCCTTGGCTCAAAAAACCACTGTCTTCAACAGTCTTGTCGATAAACTCCAAGGTTTGTGTAATATTCTCTCCACTAACATTTTTCCTCCCATATAACTCTTTATAATAATCTTCGATCACTTGCATGATCTCCTCGGTAGTCTCAACTTTTTTCCGGCTTTGTTCGTTAGTTGAGAAACACAGCCAGACTTGCTCATAATTTTCTTGAAGAAATATCTTGTGCATTTTTCACTTTCATCTCTCTCTTTCTCCCTACTTCTTAAAATAACCTACTTTTTATGTCCGCAATTACCTGCATTTCCTCCTTGACCTCTTTTATTTCATCGTTAAAATCCATCCCCAATTGGTTTAAACGATAGTACCTCTGTAGTCTTTTCTGCAGCCCCATCCTGCGTCTATCCTCAGCAGCCTTCTTCCTTTTCCCGGCCTGTTTAAAAAATAACTGTGTCCTTTCTTTAACCGTTTCCCACCACTCTGCACGTGTTTCATAAAAGTCCTGGAGGGTCTGCCACTCACGATACCGCTCCTTATACTGGCTGATCAAATTCTGGTCCTTGAGCAAGGAGCAGTTAAGTCTCCACAGTCCTCTCCCCATCGTCACACACGATGCCAGTGTGATAGTACTGGACAGCATCATGTGATCAGAAAAGAAGACAGGCATCAATCTAGCCTCAGTTGGCAAGACATCTCTCACAAACAAGTAGTCAATACGAGAGGCCCTAGAGCCATCCCCACTAAACCAGGTATAGCCCTCCTCCCTGGGGTGCACTGCTGCAAAACAGTCTGTTAGTTTAAAATCTCTAACCATCCCCTGTAATAAGAGTGACGTCTTGTCCACTTTAAAATCTTGCCTGGCTCGTTTCCTATCCTTTCTACTTAGGACACAGTTAAAATCCCCCCCAAATACTAAAGGCACCTTTCCCAACAAATGGGGCTGCAGCTCCTCTAAAAGGTCATATCTTTCATGTTTATCATTAAACCCATAGACATTCAGGAGGTTAAAATCCTTGTCCATATAACTCAAATTAACTACAAGTGCTCTTCCTTCTCTCACCACAGTGCTCCCCTTTACCAGCACAAAGGGGTTTTTAACCAAAACGGCTACTCCATCATTCTTATTTCCATTTGATCCACTCCATATTGATGGTTGTGGCCACATGTCCTGCCACTGGTTATAAGCTTTTAAAAAGGGTATTGCACATTCCTGAAGTAAGATCACATCTGACGTTACAGTATTTAGAAAGGATAACACACTTTGGGCTCTCATTTTGGTCCTAACACTTCTAACATTTATAGTTGAGAAGGTAAGAGCCATAAGGAGTAAGACAAAGGGCAAACTAACCATTTTTAAGTTAAGGGGAGGTAATTCTCCTCAGGGAAAAGACTCAGCCCAGGTTTCAAGGATCCTAACGTCAATTTATTTCTCGTGAACAGAGCTCTTCCTTCACCTCACACGGTTCTGGAGGGAGGGCTGGTGCTCTATTCCCTTTACGGACTCTAGGAGACGGCCTCTGCTGCAGCGCTGCATTAACCATACGATCTTTGGGGGTTGACTGCAAAACTATGTTAAGAAAGGAGACCTCATTTGGCGAGCTAGAGGGGAAGACCCTGGAGTCCTCCCCAGAGGAACTCTCTGACGGTACTTCAAGTCTTCCCCTCTTTCCTGAAACAATTGTCCCGGAGGACAGTTCTGCCGCAGTTCTCTTTGCCAGCTGGGTATCAGGGGGGGACTGATCTTGGGCGCTATCACTTGAAGTATTTCCACCTCCTTGTGTTCTACTTTCGACCTGTCCGCCCTCCTCCTCCTCTGAGGTTTCTGGTCGGACAGGCCCTCCATGCTCCTCCCCATTTCCCGCCTCCCCCTGT